CAAAAAAGACGGAGAGGTGGGGTAACCCCATTGCTGGACACAGTACACACAACCGGGGAAAGAAGTAAAGAGGCTTCTGAGTGAGCATTCCCTTAAAAGGAAAATGGGGCCAATAACTCTCCCCAAAGGGTCTGAGAGAGGGAGCAGGGGCACTATGTGTACCCCAAAACAACAAAATTAAATTTCCATCTATTGAAACAGGGAGATTGCCTGGAGGCATGGAAGACAGCAAATGGGGTTTCCCAATTTTTAAAAAAAGGAGACAGAAAAAGAAGCACAAAACCTACAGACCAGTGTCACTGACATGTATAGCCATGAAAAATCATTTGGAAAAAAATTTTCAGGAGAAGAATGGGGGAACATCTAGAAAGGAATGATCTCCCTCACCCCAGACAACCCTGGTTTCAGAGACGGGGGAAAACCTGGGGTCACAAAAACCCCCTTTTAGTTTTATGAATGGGGACGCAGTAAGAAAAAAGAGAAAGGGGTGGGTGGATTGCATTTTCTTAAAACACATACAAAAGTACCACACAAAGATTAGTGCAAAAACTGGAGGGCCCAAACAGAATAAAAAAGGGAAAGGGACTGCAATGGATTAAAGGGGAAAAATTTTCGGAAGACAGCAGAGAGTAATTTTACGAGGGGAGGTGTCAGAGTGGGGACCGTGACCAGGGGGGCCCCCCGGGGGGCAGTCCCAGGGGCCCGTGTGTTTTGGTATTTGTGAACGACTTACGGAAGGAATAAACTCCCCAGGGTCCCCTGTTTGCAGGGTGACGTTTAAAATTTGATGAGAAAAGTTCATTCGGGTCGAAGACCAGGCAGAAATACAAAGGGATCTGGACAGGGGTGCAGGGCCTGGTCCCGCAAAATGGCCCCCTGGAGTTTAACCCAAACCAAATGCAAAAATCAAGGGGGGATTTGGGGGAAAGGGGAAAAAAAAGACCGAAAATGGAGTACCCGTCTAGGGGGGCAGAGGCTACAACAATTTACTCAAGGAAAAAGAAACTTGGGGGGGAGTATAAAAACCAGGCACATCTCCGGAAAGGGCCCTCAAACCCAAAAAAACTGCGCATATGGGGGGCCTGGCAAACCCAAACAGATTTCCCACATCTTAATAAGGAATCCCTTCAGGAAACCCCATACACCGTTTTACTTTTGGCCCTATTGGAAATATGCGGGACCAGTTTTGGAAAACCCCCACCTAGCAAACACGGGGAAGAAACTAGGAAAGTGCCCAAAAGGGTTTTCAACAAGGGCCTTTGCCCCGAGCTAAAAAGGTATGCCCTTTTGAGGAGGGTTTAAGGGGAAAAAAAAACCTACGACATGGGGGAAGGAGAGATAGGGGGGGCATGGGTAACGACTTACAAAAAACTGGAGGGAAAAGACAAGGTGGACAAAGACAGGAAGTTTCCCGAGACTGGGAAAAGTAACAAAGGGGAAAACAGTTGGAAGTTTTAAAACACAGATGAATCAAAAAAGGGGTTTTTAGGGGTATTTCTTCAGCCACAGAGTAGTCGGAAGTGGAATATTTTTGGGGAAACGATGTAGTTTTTTGGGCAGGATCCATACATGCTTTAAAAACAGAGGTACGATTTAAATCATGGTTTAGGGAGAGTGACCCCAGTAGCGGGCCAGTTGAAGGGGGCGGGGCCAGGAGCTTTGGAAATCACCCCTGGGGAACCTCAACTAGGTGGGGTACAGACAGGACACAACACACAAAACACAAAACACACACACCCACACACACCCCAAAAACACACACACACACACCACCCCACACACAGACACACACAGACACAAAAGACACACACACACACACACACAAAACCCCAAAACACACACACAGACACACACACACAGGGCACCCCACCACACACACCCCAAAAACCCCACAAACACACACACACACCCCAAAACACACACACACACAGACACACACCACACACACCACACACACAGACACAAACACACACACAGGGCACACACACACACACACACACACACACACACAAAACAAAAAACACACACACACACACACACAACACACACAACACACACACACACACACACACACACACACACAACCAAGACAAAACACACACACACACACACACAACACACACACACACACACACACAACCCCAAAAACAGACACACACCCCAGACCCCATATATGGGAAATTAAATATATTTGTAGTGAAAAGGTTTTAGAGAACCGGGCATGTTGATAAATTTTGGGCACTGTGCCCAAATCTTGGGGGTCTTTGTTGAGGAGGCCTTTCGCCGCACAGTGGCTTCATCGGTTCCCCTTTCAGGGGAGGGTTTGAGGGAAAAGGAGGAGAATGAGGTAAACAGTTTCCCCCAACCCTTTAGTCGTTTTTGGTTTAGTCCCTCAATCTTTAATTTGAATAAAGGCAAACGTGCGGGGAAGGGGGCTTAAAAACCGTTTGGAAAGGGGAGGGGACAGGGATCATAGGGGGTTGGGCACATTTTTTCAATG